CCGCGCAGGGGCCGGGCCGAGCGGGCTGCCCCCGCCCCGGGCAGGCCCTCGCCTCTTCCACGGCCCCGCGCCCTGCCCCGGGGGACGGGCACGGGCATGCAGGTGGGAGCCGTCCCACCATGGCTGCGGGGAGAAGGACGGGCCACTCGCCAAACCTAGACGCTAGCCCGTCAGGGCGGAGAGTGAGCGAGTCGGGGACTGAGAGAAACACTTCACCATTACGACTGAAGAGGTCACAGCGGGATCCTGCACCTTCCCGCCACTCCTGTCTCTGCGTCTGTGAAAGTCACTGTGTGAAATGGGGACTGCAAGCATTTAGCATCCTTGAAGCTCAGGTCATCGCTTAACGGCTTTTCTCACTTGTTTACGCAATGCACAAAGTAAGGATAATAGCGTTCTTTTATCACACAGGGGTGTTACTAACATGAATTAATAAGAATTTACAAAGGTCATTTAGATTTTGGGATTAAAAGGCTAATTTCAAGGGTCTGTTACTACATAAAACACATGCACACAAGCAAGAACATTAAATACATGCAGTCGTTCACAACGTGCACTTACATAGCTGCTCTCTTCTAAGGTTTACTGAGAGTTACGCAAGCAATTAACTTAGCCAGACAACCCCCCGTGAGGTACGCAATAGATAATGGTTTTATTTTATTGAAGGAGAAACACACAGTGTGATGAATGTCAAGTTACCAAAGTCACATATCTACTTTGATCACTACTGAACTCCTTTATTTTAAGCAATCTATTTAGACACATATCCTGTGGAACATGGTGGCTTGCCTTTCTTGGAGGGGAGATGGAAAGTCAATTAAAATACAAAGGTTTCTTTTCCTAACAGGTTAACTAATAGATGGAAACATAGACAGTAGCCTAAAAGTAGAGTCCATGTTAATATGGGACATACTTGTCAAATAAGCTTCATGTCAAATAAGTGAGCCTGTGAGAGCTAACTTTTAGCTAGTCACCATCTACACATCTCTGCAGGGTTGATTCTGTTTTACAGATTTCTCAAAAGCAACCTTTGCTACCCAGTTTCAAAGTGGCTGAAGTGCTAGGTTATCTCCCCTGTATCTGCAAACATAAACATACCTTTAACTATTGTTTTAAGGTAAGACTTGAAAGCTTCCTAACTTGTATTTATCCTTTAAATAGCAGCTGAAGGAAGGACAATCAAATCAGATGTTTTCTCAGTTGTTCTTATCCCATATTTAATCCTTATTAGCCCCTCCCTGCATAGCACAGGGCTGTCCCTTTTGCTAACCATGGCGAGCATATCAGCCGTCTTCTTGTGATTAACGGAGTGACGCAGTGAGAGATATTAAAAGATAGTTAGTAAAGCGGAGCAGGCAAGCTGTTCTAAACTTAGTGTAACCTGAAGCAAGCCATGAGGTATCCTCTGGTTCCATTGGTGAATGAGCTGACCTTTCCTCTTCTTTTCTTCTGGTTTTGTTTGCCATTTGTAATACTGTTGATCATAATGATTATCTGGCTACAGCTTCTACTTAATGAAGGTAAGTTCTGCAGTTGGTCAGATAAAATGCTCCTCTATAAAGGCTTTATCTATTAGCTTCATCTTTAAAGCACTCTGCTAGCTATTTTTAGGCTAATGCTACTTGTCAGAGAAGGAAACTAAAGGGGTTTTTAGTACTGTTGGTAGCATATAGAAAACTAATCACCAATTATTAGGCTTTTCTGTTAAAAATGCTTGTAAGACAACAAGCTGTTGCCTGCTGTTCTTCCTTACCCTCTCCCTTTTTCTCAGAGGTAATTTAAGAAAGGAAATGACAAGTAATCTTTGTGATTTTTTTATTAAAAAATTACCCAGAAAGCAAACCTAACCCTCTAATTCTGTACACTTTCAAACTCTGGCATTATAGTTCTTTTACGCTTTTTTTTTTTGGGGGGGGGGGGGGGGGAGCTGTTAAGGAAATCTTTTGTCAATGCTGAGGCTGTCAGAAAAATTTTAAGGAAGCAAGACATGCATTTTCATTTATGTATTTTACTCCTCTTTCCAGTCCATCACTGATTCCTATTTCTAACATGTCAGTAACTGATAACAGGCTTTGGTTTAGGCTAATAATAGGCTTGTTGATCTACTCCTGAGGATAAAACCTTGCTAGTTTGCTCTAATGCTGGAGCATAAGCAATCCCAGCTGAGGAATCAAAAGTTCAAAAGCAGTGATTCTGTCTTTGCCGAACAGCTGTAGGAAGGAAAAGAACAACAAAGTTTTACTTCAGTAAGATTTTACTTCTATTTGGTGCCTCTGTTCTTACCTAATAATGTGGTTGTTGGTCCTATAATAGATCCCATAAGAGCAGCAACAGTGAGACCTACAGAGCTGAGGAACAGGAGGTACTCACCACAGCAAAGCCTTGTACTTCTTTCTCCCTCCTTTCCTGCCCTGCATGTGTGCACATGCTGAATTTTTTACTTTCAGCTCCCATTTTGCAGTCTTAGCACACAGCTAAGCTCATAACAGCCTCTGCGTGCTTCAGTAGTAAAGTATCTTCTCTCCACACACTCAAGTGCGCTCTCGTGGGTAACCAAGCACAGTAATTAAAAAGCGCAGGTTATAAGAGGTTGTGACAATTATACAAGCCACCCTGAGCAGCATAGGCATGGCTTACTGCTGAGGTTTGAAAAGAAGAATAAAAAAAAAATCTATTTTACATAGGTAAAAGGTGCCTGTGCCATGTACTTACACTTGAGTGTCAGCTTTTTGCCTGGACAGAGTAACTCTAGAATCCCTTGATGCTTCAAATGAGATTTTCAGGTTATATTTGCTACATTTACCTTTAAAATTTCTGGCTATATAGTGACTGGTTTTAGTACCGGGTCTCTAAAACATTCTACAAATGCTCTAAATTCCATTTTAATCAATAAGACTGGACACATTACTGAATTTTTACATACTAGTGTGTTCATAGTATTAGAGCATTAAAGTGTTTCTCAATCACTCTCAAGAAAAAAAAATAAAACCATTCTTTAGTAACTTCCAAACTCATTCAGTCATACCCACTTATTTAAGGCTAGCTTATAGCAGGCACTGTAGTGGGGTGTGTTTCAGCTCCTCCATTAATATAGTTGCTGATTAAGAGCTAATTGGTTAAAAACAAACACTTATACAGGCCTCTTGTTGCCTAGTTAGGTTTAGAAATCCTTTATTTCAGCTGAAAAATATCAGAAGAGCCTTGCCTTACTCCCAGATGGAACGTGCAAGGCTTGTAGTTAGGGAGAAGTCCTGGAAAGATTATTTGCATGTTCTTTTAAAACATATTTCTAGCACAGATGCCCAGCGCAGAAGAAATAAGAAACCAATCTTCTGATGAACCTGACTCTAAATTTGAGGATGAACCAACAGAGGAAGAAAGCCAGAATGATGCATCCCATACGGAGATGCAAGAGGAGATGCAAACTAGCGGATCTGTGGGAAAACCAATGCCCAAACCTGCTTATACAAGTTCAAATCTAAAAAGTAAAAAGCAAGATAATTTTTCTGTAATCTCAGACAGCTCATCTCAGAACCAGAAGACGAGACATTCCCATGCTGAGAAGAGCAATTTATGTAACATGATGGTGAGTAGCATGACCAGACTATCTCTTCGCATATCTACTGCTTTTGTGCCTAAGCTCTCATTTTTTTCTTTCTTCACCTCTGCCTGATTCCCTGGCCTCTTGGGTAATAGATTGGTTTCTGCTTGGTTAATGACTAACAAGAGGTGTTTCTTTCTGTCTTCCCTGTTTGGAGTGACTCCTCCGTGTAGACAAGGTAAAGGTAACACAAAATTGTACAGAATAACAATCACATGAGGGTAGTGTACAAATGTGTGTGTATATATATGTTTAAAGGTATGTATACATATCTTAAAGTCCTTGATAACTGCATTTGAACCAGTGAAAATTACTACCTATTCCTCTAAGTTAAGAAGTTTAGCTCAACTGTATGTAGGAACTCTCCTGGTATGTAATACTCATGTATTTTTAAAATCTGCTTCAGATTTCTTACAGTACAATGTGACTAAAAATTGGACATTTCACTTGCTCCGTGAGCTGAAGCCAGAAGTCTCTTTGCAAATGCAGCAGTCCCAATCCGCTCAGGCTTTACAAGTCTCAAAAGATATATTTGAATCAGTGGAAGAGCTTAGTGTCTTATATGTCTTCTCTTTCCCTGTGTCTTGACTTTATGTTCCTTTGCAGAAGGGGTTCAGAAAGGAAAGCTCGTTTGTGCCTCCACTGTCACTATTCACAGTCCTGTCCACACATTTACACTGCTGGGATTTTTGAAATGCAGCAGCTGAGGTACTCACTTATGTTTACTTCCACCAGTTTTGCTGGAGCAGTAACCTTTGTTAGGCTAGAATAGCTAAGGACGGGTATCATCTTAAATCATGGATTGACTAACACACCCCGAAGCTGAACATTAGCATGGATTCAGTAATATCTCAAGTCAAAGTATTTTTGACATTAACACCACCTAGTCATTGTAGTACTATTTTTCTTCTCATTGTTGATATTCAGAGTCTAGGGAAACAATGCTAAGAATGAGCTTGGCCTTGTCTAAGGTACCGTTTGGTTGTCCTACAGCTCTTCACATATACAAATATTGATTTGAACACAGCAGTCTGAAGAACTGGGGTTTAAACTTGTCTCTTGTAGGACATAATACTTACACTGAAACACTTGCTAGTTGTGTTGGGTGGATGAGGGAAGGGAACAAGCACTTGTGGTCTTAAACCATTTATATCCTACTGAAAATTGAACCTCTTTTGAAAATATCATTGCCATGACAATTTTGTTCCTTCTTTCCTTCACCAGCTGTTGTGCACCACGATATCTTCTCTCATCTGGAACTTTGTCTGCCAGTTGCTCCAGATCTCTAATGTCCTGAGGATTCAACTGCTGCCATCCTCTCTGATTGTTTACATGGCTCAGCTGTTTGTTTTGCTGGGTGGAAAAGTTGTGAAAATCCTGGGTTCCCTGAGGCTGGAGAGCAGAGGGCTGTTGACCTCAGTCTTGGGGAGGAAGCTGGAGCAGAGCGATGAAGCTCAGAGAACAACCTTGGGGTAGGAATAAAGCAGGTAGTCCCACAACCATTAGCAACAATCCTACTCAGCATCAGCAAGAGCTACTGCAGCATGGCAGAGAGGTTACTTCTCTGAAAAGGACACTCAAGACTAAGGCAATGTGCACTTGGGTCACACCAGCCACGTTCAGAGTGAACAGTATTGACTGGCTGGTTGTTAAATGGATGACAGCAGCCAGCCTCTTGTCCAGCGCTTGGGTGTCTACTCTGCTCCCCTCTCAATTTACGGATGAATTGGTTCCTTTTTTATAAGGATGAAGCACTACACTGACACCAGTGATAATCTCTGTTCACCACTACTACTCTCTGATTTCAAACAAGATCAAGGCCATAGCTCTCAGTAGTGGTTGTTACTGGAGCTTAAATGCAGTACAGCCCAGTGATTATTTTATCCATATGCAATTAGCACTCTTCTGATCTCCAGCTTGTCAGTTCTCAACGTAAAGGAAACAATTTTTCAACACTTGGGTCTAACAAACAAAACAAGCCTACCTCCCATTAACAACAAATAATTAAGCCCTCAGAAGATACTGAGCGTGCATTTCCTTAAATTTTGTTCAGGATATGCTTTTTCAGCACTGCTGACAGGCTGATGTAAGGTTACAGCCCACTGACAGCTTGATTTAACCAGTTGCTGAGACTAGGATGAGCCATAATTTTGTGGCCTAAGGGTTTATCCAGTCTTTGGGCTGTGAACGGAACAGCTGTTTGCTCCTGTTGTTCATGCACACAGTCAACAACCTCTCTTTTTTTAAAGAGGACCTGAATTAGGAGGTCACATCCCAAAGAGCACGTTGCTGTTTGAGAAAAATGTCGCTGTGTCTTCCCCGGAGTCCCGTGTGGGCAGCCTGTGTGACAGTTACACTCGCCCACATGCCCACATTCATTATGAAGTTTGTTTTATGTTTGCTAGTCTTTCCCTCTCCATCCCCTGAACTCTACACGTCCAAATATTTGTCCAGAGCAGTACTCTTAAATAAAACTCGTTTGTCCACGTCTTTAGTTTTGCAGCTCCTTTATTTAGAAAAAAAACCCCAAACCTATTTGCCGTTCTTCAGCTGCTTTCCGAGGAAATCTCCGTCCCGCCCGCCTCTCCCCGAGGGCGACCCGGGGCCTGGGCCCTGCTCCCGGGGGCAGTCTCGGGTCTCCCGCGGGCAGGCGGCAGATGCTGAGGGACCGGTTACGGGCGCGGGGGCGAGCGCGGGCAGCGGCCCCTCCCCGGCTCC